CTTGGATGGGAGACCACCAAGGAAGTCCAGGGTTGCTACGCAGAGGCAGGCAACGGCAGACCACCTCTGTTGTTCTCTTGCCCTGACCTGGATGGCCCAGGCTAGCCCAGTCTCACCAGATCTGAGAAGCTAAACAGGGTCAGCCCTGGTTAGGACTTGGATGGGAGACCACCAAGGAAGTCCAGGGTTGCTACGCAGAGGCAGGCCAAGGCAAACCCACCTCTGTTGGTCTCTTGCCCTGACCTGGTTGGCCGAGGCTAGCCTGATCTCATCAGATCTCGGAACCGAAGCAGAGTCAGCCCTGGTTGCTATTTGGATGGGACACCATCAAGAAAGTCCAGGGTTGATCGGTTAAATTATAGCTTCTCAGACTTCCGGTACGGCGCGTTAGCGGGCAGGCGGGGGCGCGAGGTGCTCCGTCCCTGCCCGAGCCACTTTTACTTTGTTCGGACCCCCCTGCTTGTCTGGGGGGCGAGACCGGCACCCGGGTGATGGGAGCTGGTGCAGGGGGGTGTCCGGTTACAGCCCCGACGCCGAAGTAATTGAAAGGGAAAACATGGCTACCAGCCATGTTTTTACGAAACGCGACCATCCGCTTTGTTTTTAACTTCAAGACCGAAGAAAAATAGAATTACAACACGGAGGAAAGAAAAGGAAGGACCGAGACAGAAAGGCTGAAGGCTGAAGAAATGATAAGAGACCCCAATTTAAAACGATGTCCAAAAAGGTAAAGTAAAGCGGCCGGAACTTAAACGGGACTTAATGGCAGACGGAGAAATGCACGGGGGAGAGAAAAGATGTGCTGGCGTTTATGGACGGGCTTAGTTATGCGACCCACGTTTAAGAGACATACATTTTGGATTTAGAACTTAAAAGTGCTGGTTTTGTTGTTCCGAAATGGAGAATACGGAGCACATAATTGGTAATGGAGAGGAACGTGATAAAGAGACGGAAACAGCTGAGATGGATTGGGAACAGTTCCTTAAAGCTATAGAGGAGGCGGTGACAAGAGGCTGCGAAGAAGGCTGTAAAAAAGCATGTGCTCAAATAAGAAAGGAATTTATGACACAGACAGAAACGCACGATCAATGTGCAGGAGAGAAAGAATTAAAAGAACCAGAAGAGGTGCAATTGAAGAGCAGCGATTGCAAAAAAAAAGAGAAGCTGAGTGAAGGTATAGACTCTAAAAGCCTGCCAAGGGACACAATATGTACTGTGGAATATCTCAGTGACTTCAAATCTGGATTATCAAAAGACTATGGACAAGATTTCAGTCCCGTACAAAAGAAGAATAAAAGAAGACCCAGAAGAAGAAAACGGAGGGCTTGGAAATTTAAAAAGGAAAGTAGATTTTGGGATATGGAGGGACTAGTGATTGAAGGGGGAAAAGATGGAAGGCAAAGTTTGATTAAAGGGCGCAGGCATAGAGATAAGTTGAGGCAGTTAAGTAGATTGCAAATGTTTAAAAGAAACAATAAGCTATATGAGGGAAAAGCTTAGCTATAATTATAAGATCAAAGGGAATTGACTAAAATTTATTGACCAATGAAATACTGTACCAGTGATTGTATTTTCTTCTTTTTTTTTCTTTTTTTTTTAATATAATGGATGATAGTAGTGGATGAGGATGTTAGTAGTAGATGAGGAATGATAGAGCAGTGGAGTAAATATATTGGGATATGGCAAAAATGAATTAATTGAATGGCTGTGATAATTATGAGAAAAATTGAGAAAAGTGATTTAATGTATTTAATTATGAACACAAAAGTATTGGTGTTAGTGGATATAGGGGAATCATGTGAAAGGATGTTTTGAATGGATGGGGTGATGATATTTGTTGGCTGAGGGTAAAACTTTTCTAGTAATAATGTTTGATTTGTTGATGTTTGGTTTACAAAATTTATTTGTGTTAAAAGAATCTGGTACTTTAGATGTAGAGTGAGCTAAGCTAGAGAAGCCTTGATTGTGTGTAATCGAAAAGATACTCTATAAGGAACCAGAATAATGTATATCCGAGTAGAAAATTAAGGAAATAACATAGTGGTGAAAAGGTGGGGAAAACAGAAATTTATATATAAAAAATAAAAAAGAGAGGAAAAAGTATGTATAAAACTATAAATTAAAGCCCATATATGGATTGCAGAAAACTGTTTATGAGGTATGAGAGGGTATTTGTACAATTATGAAAGATACACAACGCTGATAAGAGTTTGTGGAATGTAATATTTCCTAGAAAGATATATTGGTCCAATATGGAAAGAATGAAGGGGAAACAGGGAAGAGTTCTAAATGAAATGAAATCTTAAGAATCTGTTATTCTGTGTTGTTAAGAAAAGTACATGTTGTACAAGAAGTTTGTATATATGAAATCTGTGTAAATCTATATGCTATTGGCTTTCTAAATGAAATAAATAAATTATAAACCGCAAAAAGAAAGTCCAGGGTTGCTACGCAGAGGCAGGTGATGGCAAACCACCTCTGTTGGTCTCTTGCCCTGACCTGGATGGCCCAGGCCAGCCCAATCACATCAGATCTCAGAAGCTAAGCAGGGTCAGCCTTGGTTTTGTCCTTGGATAGGAGGCCACCGAGGAAGCCCAGGGTTGCTACACAGAGGCAGGCAAGGGCCAACCACCTCTGTTGGTCTCTTGCCCTGACCTGGTTGGCCCAGGCTAGCCTGATCTCATCAGATCTCGGAACCTAAGCAGAGTCAGCCCTGCTTACTATTTGGATGGGAGACCATCAAGAAAGTCCAGGGTTGCTACGCAGAGGCAGGCCATGGCAAACCCACCTCCGTTCATCTGTTGCCCTGACCTGGATGGCTCAGGCTAGCCCAGTCTCACCAGATCTCAGAAGCTCAGGCCCTGGTTAGTACTCTGATGGGAGACCGCCAAGGAAGTCCAGGGTTGCTACGCAGAGGCAGGCCATGGCAAACCACCCCAAACGTCTCTTATCTTGAAAGCCCTATGGGGTTGCCGTAAGTCAGCTGCATCCTGACATATAATAATAATAATCACAATGATAAAAATATGTAAATGTAAACTATTTGCAGAGGTCCAGTAGTGGCACTGTGGCAAAGAGATTGACGAGGCGATGCCAATATGCTAGTAATACGGTAAGGACAGCAGCAATATTAAAAACAACAACAGAAACGTTGGCACCTGAAAGTCTTTGGCAACATTCATTGGCCATATCTACTCAAAAGGAATACCACCCTGAAAGTAAGACAACCCTTTTAACGTTAGATTCAGGTGGGGCCGCCGTGTTGATCTGAAGCAACTGAACAAAGTTTGAGTCCAGTGGCACTTTAAGCCCAACAAAGTTTAATTTAAGCCCAACAAAGTTAAATCTAGATTCAGGTGGGGCAGCCGTGTTGATCTGAAGCAACAAAATAAAGTTTTGAGTCCAGTGGCCCCTTTAAGCCCAACAAAGTTTAATTTAAGCCCAACAAAGTTAAATCTAGATTCAGGTGGGGCAGCCGTGTTGATCTGAAGCAACAAAATAAAGTTTTGAGTCCAGTGGCCCCTTTAAGCCCAACAAAGTTTAATTTAAGCCCAACAAAGTTAAATCTAGATTCAGGTGGGGCAGCCGTGTTGATCTGAAGCAACAAAATAAAGTTTTGAGTCCAGTGGCCCCTTTAAGCCCAACAAAGTTTAATTTAAGCCCAACAAAGTTAAATCTAGATTCAGGTGGGGCCACCGTGTTGATCTGAAGCAACAAAATAAAGTTTTGAGTCCAGTGGCACCTTTAAGCCCAACAAAGTTTAATTTAATTTAAGACCAACAAAGTTAAATCTAGATTCAGGTGGGGCAACCGTGTTGATCTGAAGCAACAGAACAAAGTTTTGAGTCCAGTGGCACCTTCCAAGACCAACCAAATTTTATTCTGGGTATCAGCTTTAAGAACTCTGGGTATATACTTTTGTGGGCACGCACACTTCGAAGAATAAAACCTGGTTGGTATTCAATGTGCCCCTGGACTCAAACCTTCGTTCCTCGTAAAAACGCACAAATATTATTTTTGGATGTAGCTGTAACTTGCATAAAGCGTAAAGTCAGCCGACCCCTGCCTCTAATTTTTGGAAAACCCTGCATTTACTCAAACGCAAAACTGATCCTCCCCCCCTAGATACCCCCTCCAAAAGTGTGGGTTACTCTCAAACCCGCATCCAAGTTACAATCAGTGTTCCCTCTAAGCTGAGTTAGTGTGAGCGAGCTCGCAGTTTTTTAGCCTCCGGCTCACCCATTTTCATCTCCGCTCAGGAAGGAGGGCTCCAGAGCAAACTGATCTATGCAGCAGTAGTCAAATCGCTCGCTCACAACGTTAAGACCAGGAGCTCACAAAGTAGAGTTTTTGCTCACAAGATGCCACAGCTTAGAGGGAACATTGGTTACAATTCCTTGCAGCAGAACAAACTAATTCCAGAACAAACTAATCTATGCAGCAGTAGTCAAATCGCTCACTAGTCACAACTTTAAGGCCAGGAGCTCACAAAGTAGAATCTTTGCTCACAAGAGGCCACAGCTTAGAGGGAACATTGGTTACAATTCCTTGCAACAGAACAAACTAATTCCAGAACCAACTAATCTATGCAGCAGTAGTCAAATCGCTCGCTCACAACTTTAAGGCCAGGAGCTCACAAAGTAGAGTTTTTGCTCACAAGAGGCCACAGCTTAGAGGGAGCATTGGTTACAGTTCCTTGCAATGATAAAAATTCCTCTTGACTACAACCAGAGGGGTTTGTTCTTTTTTTTGGGGGGGGGTCGTCTTCCATCCTACTCTCGAGTAAACCCACGGGAGAGCCTCTCGCATTCCGCACGGGCAGCCTTTCGGAGATTCTGTTTCGCTTTGCGCCGGGCAGGAATCGAAACTCCCCGGACGCCTCTCTCCCTCGGCTTGCCAAGCTCCCGGCGCGACCGGGAGATCTCCCGGAATAGCCGCCCAGGGGGCGCTTCCTCCCCGCCCCCCGGCGGAGGGTGGTCCCCGCGTCCCCCCCTTCTCACCTGGGCCAGCTCCTCCCGGCAGACGGCGCAGTAGCGCACCCCGCAGAGCGCCCTCATCCGCACGGAGCAGCGGTAGCAGATGGGGTGCTCGCAGCGGCCCAGCGCCACCACCTCCAGCTCCCCGCAGCACAGCACGCAGCACGGGCCCTCCGAGCCCCGCGACGGGGTAGCGGCAGCAGCAGGGGGAGGAGGCGACGCCGCCATCACGGGCCCACCTCGGAGCCCCGAGCCGGTCGCGCCGCCCCTGCGGGCCTAATGGGCCCCGAGCGCAGCCTAGCAACCGCCCCCCTGCGCCCGCACAGAGACCGCGGCCCAGAGCGCCGCCGCCGCCCACTGCGGGAGGCGCGCCGGGCCGCTCTAGGACCGCCCGCCCCGCTCGCTCCCCGCCCACCAATCAGCCGCGTGGAAAGGGGGCGAAAAATGAGACGCGGCGCCCGGACGCTCCCTCGCAAGGGACCCTGGGAGCTGTGGTTCTGAGGCCACCCACCAGCCGCGTGGAAGGGTGCAAAAATGAGACGCGGCGCCCGGACGCTCCCTCGCAAAGAATCCTGGGAGATGTAGTTTTGAGGCACACAGTGGGTCCCGGCGCGGCAGCCGGCTGCTCCCTCGCAAAGAACCCTGGGAGATGTCGCTTTGAGGAACAGGGCAGGTTCCAGGCTCATCGCCCAAACGCTCCCTCGCAAAGGACCCTGGGAACTAGCTTTGAGGAACAGGGCAGATCCAGGCCACCACCCTCTATAGATATAGGGGGTAGTGTCCAGGCTCGTCGCCCAAACGCTCCCTCGCAAAGAACACTGGGAGCTGTAGTTTTAAGGCACATGGTGGTGAGTCTCCAAGCGCGGCTCTGCCACTGCGCACAGCGGCGCCTCCCTGCCTCGCCGTTTGCTGCGCATGCTCGAAGACACGGCAGGCCGGGTGCTGACACGTGTGCGGTGGGAATGGTGCGAGTTAAGGTTCGAAGACGTATTTATTTGGCACGTGTGAATTTATTCAAGCAACATTTTGGGACGGAACCAAATAAATGCTCATAAAGTGGGGTTGGTTTTTTTTTATTTAAAAAAGAACAGGTCTGAAGCTGGATGCTGGTCAAAGGCGCACGTGGTTAAATAGGGACCGCCTGAAGGTGGGGCTGCCAACTTCCCGGTGGGGCCTAGACATCTCCCGTGACTACAATGGATCTCCAGGCGACAGAGATCAGTTTCCCCTGGCTCTACTGGTAGCAGGAGCTCCTTTGCATATTAGGCCACACACCCCTAGTGTAGCCAATCCTCCAAGAGCTTACAGAGCTCTTCTTACGGGGGCTACTGTAAGCTCTTGGAGGATTGGCTACACTAGGGGGTGTGGCCTAATATGCAAAGGAGCTCCTGCTACCAGTAGAGCCTGGCTGCTTTAGAGGGTGGGATCTCTGCCATTAAGCTCCCTCTCCAAACCTTGCCCTCCTTAGGTTCCGCTTCCAAATCTCCAGGAATTTCCAACACAGGAGCTGGCAACCGAGCCGGAAGGTGCATTCTCTTGTTTATTTCTTTAAAACATATATTAGTTGCCTTTCTTCCTTATGGGGTTAAAGCCACCTTCCATCATAAAGTACAGAAAATACATTAAAATCTGTGGTGGTCGTTTTGTGTAGGTGACCGCAGGTGGCCGTAGGGCACTGTGGAGAACCCAGCGTGGTGTATCGAACTAGGATCTGGGAGAGTTGGGCTTGGATTCCTGCTCTGCCCTGGGTGCCCTTGGGTCAGTCATGCAGTCTCAGGCTGACCTACCTCGCAGGGCCGTCGTGAGGATACAATGCAGGAGAGGAGGCGGACGTGAGCCCATCTGGGTCTCCACTAGGGAGAAAGGCGAGATATAAATGTAGTGAATAAATTTACAAAATTGACTAGACCACCTATAGGTGCATTAGAGCGCATCGGGTGGTCATTTCAGGTGGGCAACTGCAGGTGGCGCTAGTGAGACTGGCCAAAGGGGTCTGGGCAGTTTCTCCACCCTCAGTCCCCTCCACAGGTTCTGATATGTATGCCTGCTGGAGTGGCAAACAAAGGCTGCTTGCCTATGGTTCGTTGGCTGCCCTTTGAACGCGGAAATGAACCTTTGGGCCGTTAAGGTCAGAATTGTCCACTCAGACTGGCAGCAGTTCTCCAGGGTCTCAGGCAGAGAGTAGAGGTCTTTCCCATCACCTCCTGCCTGGTCCTTTCAACTGGAGATGCCAGGGATTGAACCTGGGACCTTCTACCTGCCAAGCAGAGACTCTTCCACTGAGCCACAGCCCCTCTTTACAGCTCTCCAGGGTCTTAGGCTGAGGTCTTTCACATCGCCTACTACCTGGTTCTTTCAACTGGAGATGCCGGGGATTGAACCTGGGTCCTTCTTCACGCCAAGCAGATGCCCTGACACGGAGCCACAAAACACAAAACAATACTTGTCCCCTCTGAAGATATTTCCTGTACAATATACCCAGTCAGAGGAAAGATCATTCCGATCTTTTGTAGTAATCGGAGTGAAGGCGGTGGAGTTTGGAGACAAGAGAGGAGGTTATGAATGTCTGGCTGAGTTGCTGGTAATTATTTCATAAAACACTTCATCATCATAATTAACCCCCCTCCTTCAATCTCCCGCCCAGATTAATGACACTTTTGTGAATGTGTTTTTATGTCAAAAGAGCATCAGTCCAATTTGGGAAACGCAATTAGGGTGAAATGAGGTGTCAGCGCCTGACTTTAATGGCCGGTCTTAAGTGTCACTTGTCTGCGGAACTACGCAAAAAAACCCGAGAGAGAGAGATGGTAACGGAGTGGCCAAATGCGAGGATGTAAATATGCCTTGGTAATTAAGCTTTTCATGCATGCACACACACACATACATGAGTGGCGTTGTTCGTCATCATGGTTGCTCAGATGAAGCAAGCACACAATATATACCAATGAGATGGCAACTGATATAAACAGACTCTTTCTTAAAAGTTAATAATGAATAATACACTGGTGCTCAGTGTAACTTACGTGATCCTTGTTATTTGTATCAATACAACGAAGTACAACACAGTCTATTTCTTACAATAACCAGTAATAACCAACAACAGCATGCACTTTTGTTCCATACGGCTTTGTGAAAAATTTTACAGCATAGACTTTTGCTTAGTACAGCTTATGAAAGATTCTGTTCCTGGTTTACTTTCAGTCCGTTTCTTTCTCTTTATCAAAGAACCCTCACACTTAAAGGCTACATAAGTGGAAGACTTCTGTAATTACTCCTACGGCATACTGCTCTTGTTTCAGTGTTTTGTTGTATTGATACAAATAACAACACTTTGTCGTATTGACACAAATAACAAGGAACATGTGACATTGAGCACCAGTGTATTATTCATTAGTAACTTTTAAGAAAGAGTCTGTTTATATTGGTTGCCATCTCATGGCATATATTGTGTTTGTATTGGGCTGTCTGTGAGCCTGTAAGATAGAGTTAAAAATTCAACAAGACCTGAATACTCTGGAGAAGTGGGCAGTTGCAAACAGGATGCAATCCAACAAAGATAAATGCACAGTATTACACAGTGGGTGCGTTCAGACGGGGGCTTTACACCGGTTAGGGTGCCGGTTCCAATCGATGTACTTACCGGCGTTCAGACGGGGCACATCTGCCTCCTCTCCCTAACCGGTGTAAAGCCCTTTACACCGTTGCACTCTGCTACCAGGTCCCAAGTTGTGGTATACAGAGTGCAACGGTGGTAAACGATGCACCCCGGCGTCTGATCGCTCTCCACCGGTGCCTAGGCATTTCCGTCGGAAGCCTGAGGCTTCCGGCTTCCCCCCACCATTTTATTTTAACCCTAAGCGATATGCGCTCGGGCGAAGCTTCGCCCTGAGCGTCTGTTTAAATTAAAAAAAACACCTTACTTTACCTTCCCGGAGGAGTCCGGGACTTAAGGGAGGCCAGGTTGGGATTTAAACTTTAAAGGTAAGTCCTTACCTTTAAAGTTTAAATGTAATGGGGGGGGGGTTTGAGCATGCGCAAAAATCGCCATTCTCTGAATGGCTGCCTGTGCGCATGCTCAAACTGCTTAAAAAAAACAAACGCCGACGCCCGCAGCATGTGAGCGGGCGTCCAACGGAGGCATCCGGAAGAAGGAGGGTGAGTCTGATCGCGTTTATGCCGGCAGAAAGGCCGCGTGTGAACGCACCCTCTGTGTCACACAGTGGCCAAAAATGCCAGGTGCCATCAGGAGGTCCAGCGGTGGGGCCAGGACACTAGAAGCCCTCCCACTGTTGACCCCCCCCCAAGCACCAAGAAGACAGAACATCACTTGCCCCGGAGCCCCTATCTATACCTTGTGGCTAATAGCCACTGATGGACCTCTGCTCCATATGCCTATCTAATTCCCTTTTGAAGCCGTTGTTCCAAATTTATCCCTAGCTAAGGCCACATGTCTACAGGGGTTGGGGCTGCCTACCGGCACCCAGGTGGCAGGGCTCGCTGTTTTTCTTGGTGGTTCTTCCCGGGCGGTCTTCGGGTGTCAGTGCTCGGTTCCTGGTGTGGTCGTCCGGTCCGGCGGCTTCTTCTTTCTTTCTTTCGGCGGGCTCGTCTGGTATGTGGGTCATATCGACTTACAGCCTAGCTAACGTCCGTACGGCTCTGCTGCGCTTGCGTCACGTCACCACGTCCTTCTGTGGCTCCGCCTCTGTCTCCACCTCCGTCGCTCCGCTTGCCTTCGCTCTGCTGCTCCGACGCTACGCCACTCCATCGCCGCCATTTCCACCATCACCGCCGCCGCTGCAGTCGCTTCTACTGCTCCTGCCACACACACCCTTACGGGGAGGGTGCCCCCTGCCACCTAAGGGCAGGTACCCATTCATCTACTTGCTTATATTAATTGCTTTTGAACCGCTGGGTGGGCGGGAGCTGGGACTAGGGCCAGGAGCTCACCCTGGCCGTGGTGGGTCTCGAACAGCTGTAGCAGCTGTTCACTGATGTTACCAGCAGGCGTTTTACCGCCTGCGCCACCGCCATAGCATCAAAATCGCAGGAGGCCATAGCCCCTCTGTATACTGCCTTGGTCAGGCCGCACCTGGAGTAGTGTGTACAGTTCTGGAGGCCTCACTTCAAAAAGGATGTGGACCAAATCGAGAAGGTGCAGAAGAGAGCAACGAGGATGATCGGTGGTCTGGAGGCTGAGCCCTACGAGGAAAGGCTGAGGGCCTTGGGAACGTTTAGTTTGGAGAAGAGGAGACTGAGGGGGGACAGGATTGCTCTCTGTAAATATCTGAAAGGCCGTCATTGGGAGGAGGGCAAGGGGCTGTTCCAGTTGGCAGCAGAGGAGAGGACCCGAAACAACGGGTTTATGTTA